ACATATCGAGTTATACTTATTATAAAACCCAGGTTGTTTGTGTATGTGTGTGTTCGTTTATATATGGGATCGGATTTCCTACATTTTTCAACCGATTTCAACAGAACTTCACTTTTTTCTGGCAGGTAGTGTTTCTTATTGTCTTGCACACTTTTTTCTTTATTTTTACATTCAGAATGCTTTAAAAATTCCATTTACAAGACAATTATTTATAATAAAATTCTATTCAATCGGTAGACTCATAACGATTGAAAAGAATGTTTTTGTTTGAGTTTAGGTTTGACCAATTCGTTAAAAAAAAAAAAAAAAAAAAACTAAGTTAAGACATGTGTGTCTGTCAACCTTAAACAATAATCTTTGTCAATTTTATTTTTTAGTCTTTATGATGGTCAATACTTGATCTATCTCTTACTGTTACATCCCCGGGCAATGCTGGGCTCTACTGCTAGTATATTAATAAATAATGTTTATTTATCATTTATTATCTCATTTATGATGAAAGACTGTTATTTTCAAGTGATTTTAAGTTTGAAGTAATTACCGGTATCCAAATTTAGTCTAAATAGAACAGCCCTGCACTCATTAAGTAAATACCACATAATTACAACCAATCACTTTTCTTATGTTTTAATATATTTAAGCAAAGTTTTGAAATAAGGTTGAATATTCAAAAATATTTAACAAATTAGTTATATTTACATTAAAAAAGGGCCATGTAACATCCCAGATTATAGTGTGACCTATCTGTGAGTCAACCACAAATACTCACTTTGACAACTCCAAACTAAAGGTACAACCTATCTGTTAGTACAACCTATCCCCAAGTATATACAGTAATATTGAGTCAATTGTTATCACTATGATTTGTTTTAAAATAGTTAATATTGATTCACCCTTATAACCCACAATTCAGTTATTCAGTAAAACTGTTTGGAAACCTGTAATATATTTTAACTAATTAGTGTTATCAACTGTACTTCTTTTTTTCTTTTTTTTTAACAAAGTTGTATTAGTAATACTGACTTATTTTACCTTAAAAAAAAAATCACTTTTTATTTTTTACTAAACAGTAATTTGTCTTGCTTCTGAAGTTTGGAATTCCATTATTTGTAACTTAATTTTAATGTTTTATGGATTTGAGATCTAGATTACTTCCTCATGAACAACACCACTTTGCTCATAATTTTTCCATGAAAAATATTCTTAAAAAAATAAAAATGATATGCACATTAATATCTTGCCTTTATTATTAAGAATAGTTTTGAAGAAAATTGTTCAGTGCTAAGGATAACAGAAAAATCTAAATGTGAAGTTGGGGAATCAAGAGGATTATTGTGCATTCAACCCAAAGTGAAGTTGAAGATCAAAACATTCTGATCAACAATGTTGGATATTCTTCCATCAATGCACTTGAGCCTCTTGGGATACACAGATGCCAAAAAGAAATTGGAAACTATAATCTGGATATTTTTATATATTTGTGTGTGTGTATGTATGTGTGTATATATATATATATATATATATATATATATATATATATATACTCATGTGTATAGGCAGATTTTCTGAAAGTGCTCAATATAGTATATATTACATAAGTAAATTAGTAAATAAATAAAAAGTAATTGATTTATTTTTGCTTCTGAAATGTACAATTACTTTTGTGAAACTCACAGTCAGGAGATGTTTTTGAACTTCTTATTTATTAACTATATATATCTATAAGCACACAGGTATTGGGTATTTCAGTATAATCCTCTTGTTTGTCAATGCACTTAATTATGTAATGCATATTAATCACGTGGGTCAAACTTTCACTCACTCAATAACTGTTTTGTGTTTCCTTAATAAAATGGTTGGACGTTTTCAGAGCCCACGTCACTGTTCTTCTCCAGACTACTCTTTACAAAGCCTTGTCTTTCAACATCAATTTCTGGTGGTTGTTGTCCCTCTCCCCTTTCTCTTGAAGTTTTCTTTGGCTGTCATTTGCCACAACTCCCCTCAAAGTTCAGCTGACTACACTGCTTCAAACATGAATTGTTTCCTATTAATGTCCAAACCATTGTAGTCTCTGGGTGACCAATGGAATCTTAAGATTCATTTATATATATATATATACATACACACACACACACACACACACACACACACACTCACTCTCTCTCTCTCAATGGTTTCAACATGTGCACCAAAACAATATATGGTTGAAGCATTGTACTGAGCTGAGCATTGAGGGAAGTTGACATATTTCTCATAGGATTGAAAGAAAAATAATCATTTTCAACTAATTTGGACATTTTAATTATAAAACTGAAGAATTATTAAAAGGGGTTAATTTGTGATTAATTATAAATTCAAATAATTTCCTTGTTTTTTTTTTTTTTGCCTATATTTTGTCTCAAAATCATATTCATTGTACATCATAATATTTTTACTGTCTCTGATTAAAGATTTCTGTTTGAGTACATATTTGTAAATTCATCAATATATGGCACAACAACGTCTAACAATAATCAATCAATAAATAAAATTTATAATGACTCTGATGATAAACTGATTAGTCCAGAAAATCAATGCATTCGAAGTGTTAAAAGAAGTTTTAAAATGGATGAAACTTATGAATTTATTATAAAAATCGAAATAAATACATTTTAAAATTTGAAAATAAAATGAAAATATTGATTAATTGATGTTATCTTTGTTTCATAACTTTTAAAAGTAAAATTATAAAAAAAAAAATCAAAGCCGTAACTGATGGAAAATAAAATTTTTACTGATCAAGAGATTAATTCTATCAATTATATACCAAAAATGGTTCACAGTTCTCAATTTGTTTTTAATGGAATTGAAAGAAAAACATTTTTTCTTTAATCCTGATGCTATAAATATAAACTTCAAAATGTTAACATAGGAAGCAATTTGAGGTTTTAGAAACGGGCATTCAAATAATTTTCCTTTTTTAGTTTATTATAAAAATATGATTGCAGTCATGTAATATATCTAGTAAGAGTTCTTTCACCACTTGAATCAAGATCTTTTTTGTGTGAAGTATTGGCAAAATATTTTGTCAACTGATACAAGACATTGAATTCACTGCTTTCATCATCATCCTCTATGAATTGTCATAAATTACTGTCTGATTTACTATAAAAGTTAGAAAAGCCTGGTCATAGAAATCTTTTCTATCACATGAGTCACTCCAAGACAATTATTGTTTTCTGTGCCTTCTTCATCCTCTAAGAATTATTATGAATCACTATCTGGTTTACTATCCGTAAGAAAACTATAGAAAATAAATTTCTTATGAGATAGCTCCTCAGATACTCCAAGGCAAGTGTTGTTTTTGCATTATCTTAAATCATTGGCCAATTCACCATCAGAATTTAAAAAAGAAAAAATTCATCTGCTACTACCAAGTTGTTAAACATTCATCGAAATTTATTTTTTTTAATCTATTCCCTATCCAACCTTTTATACCCCACATTCCATTTTGTATTATAAATTCCTTCCTCTTTAAACTTATCACTGCAAACACACAATCAGATTACCAATTGGAAATTTGTTAATTTAAATTTTGGATAAAAGCATAAAATATATTTTCAAGAATATCCAAAATCATTTGCACTGTAAAAAAAAAAAAAATAGTGTTTTAACATCTTGGTCTTGGATTATGCTTTTTAAATTCATTGTTAAGTGAGTCCCAAATGGAATCACTCTATTCTTAAGTGGTTGTTATTTATCTAAAACATTTTATCATTGATTGGACTTGGGAAATTTTGCAGATTTCATTCATTGATTTCTTGAAGAGATAAAGGTTCTTTTTTTTTTTTTTTTTTTTTTTTTTTTTTTTAAGGGGAAAAACAACTTTCTAAGTTATGGAAATCTAATGTCTAGAATTCAATCAAAAATGGATATTCTTGGCAGAGACCATTTTTGATGAGTTACCAGCAGGAGATTCACAAGTAGTCAAGTGGAAGAATTATTTGAGGGAAAGAAGCTGAAAATGGATAAAAGACGAAAAGATCTGAAATGTCATATTTTGAAGTGTTGGAAATAAAATGGAATACAGCATCAAGTCCATCAAAAGCTGCTTGCAGGAAAAATAAATTTTGGTTGAAATTCAAATATTACAATTTTATAACAAAACTTTCCTATGAATTCCATTTTCATGTAGATTTTTAAATTTTCATTTACTGTAGAAATGCAGTGAAAACTTTCTCCCACAAAAGTATTTAAGATTCATACACAGCTGTGCTTTTTTGTTAAGTCAGAATCAGGATTAATCTTGCACAAAGCAAGGTTGGTGTGGCTGACAAAAGATTTGTTATAATGATTTTAGGCAATGTTTTAAAAGGCTGGATACTCTTCTTGACACTCAACACAGACACCCATGGTCGTCCAAGTATACTGAGAGTTTTTATTGAGACGCCATCTCTAGGAAAATTGCCATTCAAGACTTGAGACCCTGTCCTATGTATGTATGTATGTGTGTGTATATATATAACATTGGGTGCTAGTGCTAATAAAATAGTGCTCAGTGTATAATAACAAAGCTATAATTTATATTAATAATAAATATACATTTTCCCCCTCAGTGGTACATAGCAGAATTCTGAATTTCATGCACAACATAATTGTCAGGTGCCAATTGAAAATATATATATATATATATATATATATATATATATATATATATATATATATATATATATATATATATATGAACACACTTTTCATTTTATTTATTTTTTAATTAGCTTCAGAAATATTCATGATATTGTTTTGTGGTCGGTTACTTGGCAAATTCATTTTTTGCTAGGACTCACCATTGAATCACCTACATTTCCTCTGTAGTCCAATTGTAAGAAGGAAGTTCCCCTCAGGAAGTGTTTTCTAGAGAATATCTACTTTGTGGGACAAATTTCTATGTGTTTGTTTCCTTGACCACAATAATCTTAAATTCTTCAAATCAAGGATCAGTTATTATGTTGAAACCGTGATTCCTGTATGATCACCAAAGTTAAGCAACATCAAGCCTGGTCAGTACCTTGATGAGTGACTGCTTGGGAATACCAGGTGCTGTAAGGTTGGATGTGTGGGTGGTGTAATGGATAATGACTCGGAATTATTAATCAAAGAGCCAAGTTCCAATTCCATTTGAATTTATTATATTCATTTACATGCAAATACCCTTAGGAAATGTATGAATCCACCTTTTCTCTACCCTCAAGCTATTTGTAAAACTTGTATCACTAACTTATTATCTAAAAAAAAAAAAAGAAAGTTATAATTTAATATTTTTGGCTTTAACTAACCTGCAACGGTTTGATAATCTGTAAAAATAAAACAAAAAAACAAATCAATCAATTACTGTCTATCCTACTTATCCTTTCTACCTCCTCTTATATTTATATCACACACCTCATTCAGTAACACTCTACCCTGAGTGGCTCTTGAACCTTGCATTGGGTGAAATTTAATTAAAAAGGGTAAAAACAAAGAGAAGATTTGAACTTTATACATGTAAGCTAGAGTTTAGAACTCACAGGTCAAATTGAATGCAAAGAGAAGCAGAAGAAAGCAGCAAGTAATTTGACAAATTTAAGCAAATGTTTCCTCGAACAAGTTCCACAAATACAAAGAGGGATCATAAAGGAGTAATAATTACTGAGAGCAGTAAAAGATAGAGAACTGTAAAGAACCCTGATCACCCATGTCCTGAATGGTCATGGCACATAGAGGGAAAACATGTCTTATCATGGCCCATTAACTTTATCAGGACTCTACCACTCTTTCATGTAATTTTTTTCCTGCACTAACAAAGTATTTCTCAGAAAAGAAAAAGAAAACTTGATGATGAAACAGCAAATTTGCAATTTTTAACCTAAATTTTTTTTTTATAGTGGCATTTAATTTAGATTGTGTTCATTTAATAGGTTTTGATAGGGTCACCTATATTCCTGTTCACACTCCCTGGCCTTTTGAACAGGTGTAGTGATTTATCATTTGTTTCTTGTTTAAGATTGGATTTCCAATTCCTTTTAAAGCCTTTTGTTTTCTTTCAATTCTGGTGGCCCCTTGCGACTTGGTGGCATTATATCTTTACCTGGGATGGTGACTTTTACTCTAACACTCTACTTCAAGTGGCTATTGGGCATTATACAGGGGTAACATCATTGTAAAAAAAAAAAAAAATATTTCAGAAAATGCATTGTTGGTTGGCCAAAAATTAAACATTACTTGAATATATCACTCTAATATGTTAAATGAAAATACATTGCAAATCCACGAGGATTGTCAGTGACCAAGAATTAAGGGAAATATTACTTGGCTCTTATACAGGCTATGATGGGTAAATTTTCATCATTTTTTATTTGTAATTTTGCATATACATATTGTTTGTTTTTGATTTTGTCGACTGCATAGTATAGTAGGTTTCGTTGGGCACCGTCTGTGAGAAAAAGAGCACCATGATGCAATTCACTCCACCAGAAATTTGGAAACAGCATTCTGTACTGATTGTCCAGAATCTCCAATATGAACATTTCAGTGTGTTTGGGTGTCAATCTGAGGATGATGCAAAGAATTCAGAAAGAGTTGAATGAGTCTAATGGTGATTACAAAGGTATAGCAGCTCAAAAAACTTGCTCCAATTGTTCTGATAGGAAAAGGACTCCCAATTCTTTTAGTGAGAGCCTCAGATTCAACATAAAAGCCAACACCAAGTACCTTGAGGAGGCAGTACTTCCCTGGGTCAAGAGGGTGACTGCTGGAAGACACTATTTCTGTCAATAGGACTCTGCACCATGCCACACAAGTAGGAGAACCCAGTCATGACTGTCAGACAATTTCTGTGACCACATCATCCATTACATTTGGCCACCTAGCTCCCCAGACTACAACCCCTTTGATTATTATGTGTGGGGTGCAGTTGAGCAAGAGACCAACAAAACTCCTTGTAACACCAAAGATGATCTGAAGGCAAAGATTATGGCAGCATTCTCCAACTTAAACAAGGAGACTGTCCAGAAGAGTTGCAGGAGATTTTGGAGTCATCTGGAGGCTGTGGTTGAAGCCAATGGCTATTTTATTGAATAAATTTACTCTTTAATATTTCAAGATATTTTTGTGTAATTGTTGTAATGGAATGTCCCACACTCCCTATCACTTATGTGGACTGACTATATCAGTAGCTATATAAATAATGAGTGCAGGATATACCTGGGGGCTTGCTTTGGAAATTACTAGCCTGCCACCCAATTCCCTGTCTTTCAGTAGTGTATTCTCTTTTACAATAAACCTCTCTTCTTTCATCTAGGCGCATGTTGCTGTTCCTTCACTCAAGTACCACATTTGTTTGTTTGTAACCTCTTTAAGGATCCAACAGTAATTTTGGTAAATATATCTGTTAAAATGAGATGTCAATGTTATTTTCATTTTTACATTTAGATGCCAATTTATTCATCGCACTCTGTATGTACAATGAAAATACATTGCAAATCCAGAAGAAAGGGATTGTCTGTGACCAAGAATTAAGGCAAGCATTACTTAAATATATGGCTCTTATATGTATCATATCAATCCATTGCTCATAATTTCAGCATAGGAATATAGTATAATTGATTTTACTCAATGCATGTATTGTAAATTATTCAACTATATAAATTTATTACAAATGACAAAAAAGGAATTGTCTCTACTCAGAAATTAATGAAAGTTTTATGGATAGAATAAGGCTGTTATATATCTTGTATAAATGCATTGCGAAGCAGGAAAAATGATTCAAACAGGAATTAAAGCAGGTATTCCGGTAAAAATAGGGCTATATCTATAATTTTCTACAATTATTATGCTACAGCACAACATGTATTTTCTGCTAAATGTATTCATAGGATAAGCAAGTAAGAGCAAAACATTGAATAATGATCCAAAATTACCTTAATGCTTACTATTTAACTTTTACTTCATCATTATTGGCTATGTATCAGTGAACAAGAATCTATCAGCTCTACTTGGAATGTGGCTTATCATACACATTACCTATCACCAATGCTGAAACATGTTAACCACTACCTTAATGTCCTTACATCCACTATTTGGTTTCCATAAACCTTCAGCTTGCATTGATGAATATCAGGAGGTACAGTTTTTTTTTCACAGACAAATTTGTGTTCTCCTCATGTCAGATGCTGTTTTCAGTAACAAGGGCAAAAAAAATTACAGATTATTAACAGGAAGGTTCATCCACTGCTGTCATGCCATCAACATCTATCAATGACATTGTGGGCAAATTTAATAAAATAGAAGCCATTAATTTGTGAATTGTAATTTTTTTTTTATCAGTGTTAAAAAACCATGAATAAATATACACAAATATCTTATATATATTATATTGAATATATATATATATATATATATATATATATATATATATATTCAATATAATCTCCACGATAGAAGAAAACTAGAAAAAATTTTCTACAAACTGGCACAGACACACTCGGATATTATATTTCTCGGACTTTGCAAGAAAATGGACTTAATACCAAAAGGATTCCGATTTAAATACAATTTCCAACATAGTTTTATTACATTGCAAAAACAAAAAAAAGCCCAACATATATACAACAGAACCTCCACGCAATTAAGAAATCTTACGCACAACACTGCTTACATTAAAAAATCTTTTTACATGAACTTATCTAAAAAATCAGTTATTCTCTCTACCTAACACTTTCTCCATTTCAATACTCTCAAGTAAAAAAAAGCACTCAATTTCCTGTACCAAAAAAACTGACACAGTGTATATTTTTGAAAACCAAAACTCAATAAACTAATTGCTGAGGACCCCATTTTACAACACATAACTTACCTGAAAGATTATTTAATACAACAGATCCCACGAAGATCTCATTATGTTCACTACACCAATACTACCTCTGCTGACAACCACATCGCTAACCTATCTAAATACACTCTCACCCAAGGAGAAACCTCTTTATTAAATAAAGGATTATCATTCTGCCCCTCACAACCACTAAAACCTCTAAACCTTTGCTACGATATGGAAAAATAACTTCGTAGACTAAAAGAATATTTCTCAGACAACAAACCTACTTCTAATACAGACAACAGCGCTAACCAATCATGCTCCAAACTTCCTCCGACGAAGAACAATATATGGACCCCACCAAGCGGACGTAACCAACACTTGGATCAATATGCCCACAAAGCCAGACAACACATGGATTACTTCTTAAAAAACAAAGGACACCAGATAAAAAAATACAACTTATCCAAAATAGAACACCAAGCCATCTATACTCTTAAAAACAACCGAGACATAATTATCGTACCAGCCGACAAAGGCGGAGCTATAACCATCTTAGACACTAACCACTACATTAAAGAAGCAGAATCACAACTTCAAAATAACAGATTCTATGTACCCTTACCTCTAGACCCAACTAGCACATTCAAAACAGAATTATCACTTCTCATTCAGAACCTGAACTACAACATAAAAAATACCATAAAATCTCTTATTCCTGAGAACCCTAAAACAGCAACATTCTACACTATCCCAAAACTACATAAACTCCCCAAAATCATTTCAGAAAAACACCCTAACACTTTTTTCATCCGACCCACATCAAATTACACAATCAAATAATGAAGAGAACATCTATGAAATTTCAAAAACCCTTAAAATCATGCCACCTGGTAGACCCATAATATCAGGCATTGGCACCCTCACAGAACTTATATCTGGGTACATAGACAATATCCTAAAACCTTTTATTGCCTGACATACCTAGTTATATTAGAGACACTACTGACTTTCTCAGCAAATTACAAAACATTAACTTAGTCCACCATGATACAATCCTAGTAACGATGGATGTTTCGTCCCTTTACACAACATTCCACATGTTGAAGGAGTATCAGCTTGCTATGAGTTCCTTAGTAACAAAAAATTACCTAACTACCAAATTACAGATATATGCCAATTAATAAAGTTCATCTTAACACATAATAATTTTAAATACAACAACAAACACTATTTACAGATTAGTGGCACAGCA